CATTCATTCATCCATCCATCCATCCATCCATCCATATAATCTTTGTTTCCATTTTCATAATCTTTTCTACCTTATTTTGATATAATCGTCATCATCAATTGCTGTAATAATTATCAACTTGTCTTTTGATGTCGCAGAGAGCTCAAACGACTCATGTCTGTTACTCTGTCACCAATCTATGCTCACTTCTCTGAAACCCTGACCGGGCTGAGCACAATACGTGCTTTACGAGAAACAAGACGGTTCCAGTCTACCAACGAGACGAAACTGGAGATTAATCAGAGGGCGAATTTTTGCGGTATGGGATTATATAAACACTGATTAAATGTTGTCTCTTTTTTGTCTTTCTTCCTGTGGCATGTCTGTCTGATTTTTCTCTAAATGTTTGAATGCGCAAACTACAATTTTTGGTTTGCTTCGAGTAGAAGAGAGATCTTCTTTGTGCAACAAAGACAATTTGGTGTACTTCTCTTGGTTTTCCCATTTCAGACTGTGTCATTCTCTCGAGAATAAGATTCTTTGTTTAAGTCGTATATTTACTATATTTATATGTCTTCGAACGGTTAAACAAAGAAATGACTCTAGAAAAAGACGTGGTCTGGAATGGAAAAACATTAGCTCAAGCTAAAGAAGTCTCTATTGATAGCCAAAACTCACAACCCTTGTTTCTATAACAACAGCAATGGCAGCATCACAGTGGCTGAGTCTTCGGCTTCAGTTGTTAGGCGTAGCCATGGTAACTGCAGTGGCTTTCATTGCTGTTTTAGAGCATCATTTCAGCACCGTTGATCCAGGTTTGTTGTTTTGTTGTTAATCATACAACCACAGAGAACTTACCGTAGATACACTGTCGGCCGGCATGCTGTGACATTAAAATGGCTTCCCATTGTTTTGGTGTTAATCATGCAATCACACGCGTAGTTATAGTAAAAGGAGAGTAGTGTAAAATTGAAAGCACTTCTACAGTTCGACAGAGGACCATACGGAAATTATAAAAACAAAGGCGTTCGAGAAAGTATAGTAAACGAACTTGCCTCAGAGACAAAAGAAGAAAAAACAATTTATTATTTTCGCCTTTCATTTTTTCTAAATTGGGCTCCCTGTGTCTATAGTATGGGAAATGCGCTACAATACGACTCGTCGCATAAATCGATGGGAAATATAACATTGAAATGGCTTCCCATTGTAATCCAGTAATCCATCCAATCACAACGCGTAGTTATAGATACGGTACGGCCATAGTACGACTACGACTTTGTTGTAACGTTTCTCACTCATGCGAAAAAATGCTCAATCTTTTCCATGATCAGATGTATCGGTCACTGTGTGTCGCGTATTAACGAACGTTTGGTTGCTTCCAGGATTGGTTGGTCTTGCGATCTCTTATGCACTGTCTGTAACGGATCGCCTTTCTGGTATGGTGACGTCATTCACCGAGACAGAAAAGCAGATGGTCAGTGTTGAACGTGCCGTGCAGTATATAGAGAATATACCATCAGAACAGTCGGGAAAAGCAAAGGTAAAGTATGTTTTATTGTGACGTCATTGTACTGCCATACCCAGAATCCCTTACTCACTTTCCTTTGTCTAATCAACAGACCTCTTTACTTTGGGCGCAATGTTTTCCCATTTCAGACCACGTGTCATTCTCTTGAAAATGAGATTTTTTGTTTGAGTCGTATCCATATTCATGTGTCTTCTCATGCACAACCGTTAAACAAAGAAATGATGCTCAAGGGAATGACACGTGGTTTGAATGCAAAACTTTATGCTCCAGCTGAAAAGGTGTATTAATACGAAATGGCTTGCTATTCTTGTCAGGGAACCACAATTTTGTATATGAAAGAAATTACATGAAGAATTCCGGTAGTGGTTAGTGAAATGGTATTACCATGCAATTGCAAAAACCACAATCAAATCATATCTCCTTAGCCCAATTTCATCAGTTCAGATTTGTCCTTCATTTTCTTCCACTGTTGTGAACATGCGCATGCGCACTACTTATCTCGTGGTGTTTCACATCTTATCATTAACTAACGTCGCTTATTGTTCTTTTTTTTTTTCTAGGTATCTCCGTTCTGGCCAAGTATCGGACAAATCACATTCCACAAAGTTGTGTTGATTTATAGGTTGGTGTTTGAATGACAGAGAAACGTACCCACATGCGCGCAATTGTCTAATAAACTAACATGGCCGCTTGAATACTTTGTATCTAACACGAAAATAATGGGTCGCGGTTTTCAGGGGAACACATTTTAGAAAAAAAAACAGAAAAATTCTACATACAATAAAAAGACAAACCTCCGACCCGTTGAGCTGCGCCACTGCTGTACTTACGCTGATTACCGATAGCGGGTTTTTTCATTTTTTATTTATTTATCGGTTAGTAGAATAGAATATAAATTTTCATTGACCATCAAGAACTGAATAAACTTCTCCTTTGCACTTTTGTACCCGATTTTAGGATTTTTTTCGAAACCATTTGTCATACAAACCTCAAAGCTCATGATATCGATTTTTTTTTTTGTGTTGTATTCGAAATTCAATGTTTATTGTCTGCAGGTAGATTTAAACTCCCCATGCTGCAGCGCAATTAAAGGTGTCTATAGGCCGATCTTTATTTACGTATTTTCTTCATTAGCATAAAAAAATTCCAAGCTACAAGGAAAGCGACTCCAGAAATCGAAAGAAAATGTCTTATTTAGTAACTACTGAAAATTTGAGAGTAATATGTTCAATATTTTGGGAGTAAAAATTTTTTTGAGAACGGTATGGTTGACAAAGAAATGTATAGTCGCGTGGCAAGAATTTGTTATGCTAATGACAAACGTAAATAAAGATCGACCTATAGCTATGGTGTTAGTTTTCAGTTATGTTTATCTTTTATTCAGGGAAGGCCTTTCTCCAGCTTTGCGTGAGGTGTCTTTTCAAATAAGCGCAGGAGAAAAGGTACTTTCGGAAACTGAAAGGATATTAATGTACCCTGCGAGCAGAGTCTCCTTTTACCTCCTCCATGTGCGAGAGAAGGTGACACGAGACTCTGCTTGGACGGAAGTATGAATGTTGGTGTAGTGATAGTGCACTCGCCTCTTCTCTCTGGGCTCTCGGGTTCACTTCGTTTACTCAAAATCACTTGTGCGTAGAGTTTGTTAGGTCTACGTCTCTCCGTTGATTCGACGGGTTTTCTATGGATTTTCCTGTTTTTCTCCCTCCGCAAGACCAAAGTAGCTAAATTGCAATTCATTTTCTGGGTTAGCCGTGCCCGGACTTTGATCAGTCCAGAGGTTAATATCTTAACTAATATTTTTTTTCTTTTATCAGATCGGTATCGTAGGTCGAACTGGTTCTGGTAAATCCAGTCTGTTCTTGGTCTTGTTTCGTATGGTTAATCTCCATGAAGGGATGGTAATAGTGGATGGAAAGGTTATTTCATCCGTTCCTCTTGATGTGTTAAGGTTAGTATACAAAGTTATGAAGGACATTTTTTGTTGTTTCCAAAGTCAAGAGATAAAAGAAGAGGACAGAGGAGAGAGAGGTGATAGAATTCCAGTCCCTTCTTTCGTTCTCTCCAGTCTTTAGTCTCTTCTCGACAAATTTTTGAAAACCACAGGTAGCCCAGTTCAAGCTGCGTAATGATAGTAGTTTAGCCCCGCTTAAGAGTGGTAAACTATAAATGATGGTATTCTTTGCAGGTCTCGTCTAGCAATAATTCCTCAAGATCCCTTCCTGTTCAGCGGGTCAGTTCGCTCCAACATCGATCCTTGGACAAAGGTAAAACAATCCGTCTTGAAGTTTGGTAACCCTAGCAACCAACTAATTCAGAGAACCAAAACCTATAGTAACCAATTAATTTGTCAAACCCAAACATATTATCGTGTTACCATAGTAACTTAATAAAACGTTGAACCTAAATCTACTATCATGTTACCATAGTAACCAAATATTACGATGAGCCCAAACATGTTATCGTGTTACCATAGTAACTCAATAAAACGTTGAACCCAAACTGATCTACTAACCTGTTACTATAGTAACCAAATATTGTGATGAGGCCAAACCTATTACCGTGTTACTATAGTAACCAAGATCCCCCATTTTTTTCTGTTTAGTATTGTGATAAGGATCTTTGGACCACGTTGGAAAGATGTCACATGAGACAAGCCATTAGAGAACTGGGTACGATGATATAGGTTATCGATTCGTGTTACGCTTACACAAATAGTCTCTTACACAGTTCCCTGCGCCATCTTGAAAGGTAGCCATGCCTTTGCATTGAAGCAAGACGAACGGTGAGCTTGCAGTGATAGAGACGTTTTTAACACCTTGGACAATTATTCACGTCTCTATCATAGGAAGCTCACCGTTCGTCTCGCTTCGATGCCTAAACACGGCTACCTTTCAAGATGGCGCTGGGAACTGTGAAGGGGACTATTGGATGCATTTTACTCTTGATTTTTGTCCCTATGTTTGCATAATGATCCATCTCTCTTATCTTTTTTGTCCTTGGAGTATATTCTCTTCTGATACTAAAAAGGGACTAATATCTCTTCAGGTGGGCTTGAAGCAGACGTGGGTGAACGCGGGCGCAATTTCTCCGTCGGTCAGCGGCAGTTAATCTGTCTGGCAAGAGCTCTTCTGACGAATGCAAAGGTATAAAAAGTTTTAATATGACTGTTATTATATTTCCTGCGGAAAAGCGTGAGTGTCGACATGACAACGTTCTTTCAATTACGTGTATGCCAATCAGAAAACAGTGTTCTCTGGGATCCGCCCTCCCTTCCTGAGCATGCTCAGTGTGTTGTTTCTCGCAAACTATTTAATTTTCCTTTGTTCCGACAGATTCTGTGTATTGATGAAGCTACTGCCAGTGTTGACATGGAAACAGATGAGTTGATTCAACGAACAATACGGGAAGAGTTTCGTGAGAGCACCGTATTGACTATAGCGCATAGGTTAGTGTAATTGAGTGAAGTCATTCAAAAACCAGTGAAATAGATCAATAGACTAACACACTTTACACCTTTTGCTGTTCATTAACCGCAAAGGAATATTCATTCAAGCGAAAAAGCATTATCATTAGCGCGAAGAGGCACACAATAACGCGAACGGA